GGCTGAGGCTGAGGCAGGCTGATGCTGAGGCAGGCTGAGGCTGAGGCTGAGGCTGATGCAGGCTGAGGCTGAGGCAGGCCTGAGGCTGAGGCGAGGCTGAAGGGACTGAGGCTGAGGCTGAGCAGGCTGAGGCTGAGGCTGAGGCAGGCTGAGGCTGAGGCTGAGGCAGGCTGCAGGCTGAGGCAGGCTGCAGGCTGAGGCAGGCTGAGGCTGAGGCTGAGGCTGATGCAGGCTGAGGCTGAGGCATGCTGAGGCGGAGGCCGAGGCTGAAGGCAGACTGAGGCTGAGGCTGAAGCAGGCTGAGGCCAGCAGCTGAGCTGAGCAGGCTGAGCATGAGGCTGAGGCAGGCTGAGGCTGAGGCAGGCTGAGGCTGTGCGAGGCGGCTGAGGGCAGCGCTGAGGTAGGCTGAGGCTGATGCAGGCTGAGGCTGAGCTGAAGGCTGATGCGGCTGAGGCTGAGGCCGCTGAGGCTGAGGCCGAGGCTGAGGAGGCTGAGGCCGAGGCTGAGGCAGGCTGAGGCTGAGGCCGAGGCAGGCCGGCTGAGGCTGAGGCAGGCTGAGGCTGAGGCTGAGGCAGGCTGAGGCTGAGGCTGAGGCTGAGGCTGAGGCAGGCTGAGGCTGAGGCAGGCTGAGGCTGAGGCCGAGGGTGAAGGCAGACTGAGGCTGAGGCTGAAGCAGGCTGAGGCTGAGGCTGAGGCTGAGGCCGAGGCTGAGGCTGAGGCTGAGGCTGAAGCAGGCTGAGGCTGATGCAGGCTGAGGCTGAGGCTGTGACTGCGACTGCCGTTGCCACTGCGACTGTCATCGCGAATGCGACTGCGACTGGGAGCACAGCTCTACAACTGGATTCTCATCTGAATCTTAAGGGGAACGCTTCCAGATGTGCTCCTACACATCGCTGTTAGGTTGCTTTGTCGGGATAGTTGCACAAAGCGGTTTTCCTAATGGTGCCCCGCCATCCATGTCACAAAAAACAGTACAACGTGCTCGTTGGGCGCCAGCGCACTGTCCAGATTTTGCTGCAAGGCGCGCTTCGTATAGTTTTTTTGCCAGGGATTGTGGAGGGTGTTGGCAGGGTGGGCCCCGCAATGTGCATTTTGTATTGTTACCTAACAGCGAAGATTGATAGGTTTCTCGTAGTGTCAAAAGAGAGCATCATGACTTCCCAGGGGGGTCTGGGCGGGATCCGGACGGGATCCGGGGGAATCCGGGGACTCCTTTTTTAGCCAACAGTAACGCACTTCGTGGTCTTCGAGTTCCCAGAACTCCATTCCTGGGCATGATTTTGAATGCCCGGAGCCAACTGTAGGCCACTTCGTGGTCTTCGAATTCCCAGAATTCCATTCCTGAGCATGATTTTGAATGCCCGGAGCCAACTGTAGGCCACTTCGTGGTCTTCGAGTTCCCAGAACTCCATTCCTGGGCATGATTTTGAATGCCCGGAGCCAACTGTAGGCCACTTCGTGGTGTTCGAGTTCCAGTTCCCAGAACTCCATTCCTGGGCATGATTTTGAATGCCCGGAGCCAACTGTAGGCCACTTCGTGTTCTTCGAGTTCCCAGAACTCCATTCCCGGGCCACATTTTGAATGCTGATGCAGGCTGAGAATGAGGCTAAGGCATGCTGATGCTGCGGCAGGCTGAGGCTGAGGCCGAGGCTGAAGGCAGACTGAGGCTGAGGCTGAAGCAGGCTGAGGCTGAGGCTGAGGCTGAGGCAGGCTAATGCTAAGGCAGGCTGAGGCTGAGGCTGAGGCTGAGGCTGAGGCTGAGGCTGAGGCTGATGCAGGCTGAGGCTGAGGCAGGCTGAGGCCGAGGCTGAAGGCAGACTGAGGCTGAGGCTGAGGCAGGCTGAGACTGAGGCTGAGGCAGGCTGAGGCTGAGGCTGAAGCAGGCTGAGGCTGATGCAGGCTGAGGCTGAGGCAGGCTGAGGCTGAGGCTGAGGCTGATGCAGGCTGAGGCTGAGGCGAGCTGAGGCTGAGGCTGAGCTGAAGCCGACTGATGCCTGAGGCTGAGCAGGCTGAGGCTGATGCCGAGGCTGAAGGCAGACTGAGGCTGAGGCTGAAGCAGGCTGAGGCTGAGGCTGAGGCAGGCTGAGGCTGAGGCTGAGGCAGGCTGATGCTGAGGCAGGCTGAGGCTGAGGCTGAGGCTGATGCAGGCTGAGGCTGAGGCAGGCTGAGGCTGAGGCCGAGGCTGAAGGCAGACTGAGGCTGAGGCTGAAGCAGGCTGAGGCTGAGGCTAAGGCTGAAGCAGGCTGAGGCTGAGGCGAGGCAGGGCGAGCTGAGGCTGAGGCAGGCTGGGCTGAGGCTGAAGCAGGCTGAGGCTGAGGCTGAGGCAGGCTGAGGCTGAGGATAAGGCATGCTGATGCTGCGGCGGCTGAGGCTGAGGCCTGAGGCAGCTGAGGCTGAGGCAAGGCTGAGGCTGAAGTCGGGCGGATCCGGTGAGGCTTGGGCCTGGGCAGGCTGAGGCAGTCGCTGAGGCAGGGCTTAGGCCTGAGGCAGCTGAGGCCTGAGGCTGAGAGGCTTGATGCAGGCTGAGGCTGATGCAGGCTGAGGCTGAGGCGAGGCGGAGGCAGACTGAGGCTGAGGCTGAGCAGGCTGAGGCTGAGGCTGAGGCTGAGGTGGCTAGGCTGGCTGATGCAGGCTGAGGCTGACGCCCTTCCTTTGGCTGAGGGCTTGAGGCAGGGAAGGCAGGCTGATGCAGAACGCTGAGGCAGCTGAGGCTGATGCCAGGCTGAGGCTGAGGCTGAGGCAGGCTGAGGCTGAGGCAGGCTGAGGCCGAGGCCGAGGCTGCAGGCAGACTGAGGCTGAGGCTGAAGCCGGCTGAGGCTGAGGCTGAGGCAGGCTGAGGCTGAGGCTGAGGCTGAGGCAGGCTGATGCTGAGGCAGGCTGAGGCTGAGGCTGAGGCTGATGCAGGCTGAGGCTGAGGCAGGCTGAGGCTGAGGCCGAGGCTGAAGGCAAACTGAGGCTGAGGCTGAGGCAGGCTGAGGCTGAGGCTGAGGCAGGCTGAGGCTGAGGCTGAGGCAGGCTGAGGTTGATGCAGGCTGAGGCTGAGGCTGTGACTGCGACTGCCGTTGCCACTGCGACTGTCATCGCGAATGCGACTGCGACTGCGAGAACAGCAGAATTCTACAACTGGATTCTCATCTGAATCTTAAGGGGAATGTTTCCAGTTCCAGATATGCTCCTACACATCGCTGTTGGGTTGCTTTGCTGGGATAATTTTTTGACAGGGATGGTGGGGGGGGTGCCCGCATGGTTCCGGGTTGGCTGCCAGCCAGGTTGGGGAGGGGGTGTTTATTAATAGGGAACAGTGATCAACCCTCCCCCCGAGCAGGGGATGGAGGGATTCTGGCAGATATCAGACAGAATTCATTAAACCACTTCCGCTCAGAGGGCAGGTGGGATTCTTTCAAGCGACCCCACGCGCAACCACTCTGCAAGGCGTCCGCGCCAGGTGCGTCGAGTCCTAATGCGCCGCGTGCTCAAGAGGGAACTCGGGATACTCCTGCTCCCCTCGTCCTGCTCATTTCCCCCTGCTCATCTCCTCCTTATCCTCAGCCTCGTCCTCCTCCTCCTCCTCCTCCTCCTCCTCCTCCTCCTCCTCCTCTTGCATATTCTTCTATTCTTCCTTCCTCCTCCGTTGCAATGATAGCTCAATTGATTGTTATGCGCTTGCAACGCGGTGAAGCGTATGTGCGGCATGCGTTGCACGTGCGTTGTGAGCTTGTTGCTGGTACTGATGTTATGCTATTTCGACGGCCACATGTTATTCAACAAAAACGATATAATGACACAGTGCGCATATGAACAAATACTGGGTTAAACATGCCAACATGGCCAAGATGGACCGCATCAATAATAGTGATGTACAGACCCTCTGGGATGGTGGGAGATCCCAAGATCATAGATGCCGGAGAGTGCGGATGCCGGGGCGTAAAGGGGCTCGGGGTGGGGGACGGGGTCGACGCCAGGCGGAAAATTGTATGGTGGTGGGTTTCCAAGAACAGAGGTCCAAGAGGGCGAGGATGCCAGGGCGTAGTGGGGGGCGGGGTGGTGGTCGGGGTCGATGCCTGGCGAGAAATTGCACGAACAGAGGTCCGGGAGGGTGAGTATGCTGGGGCGTGGTGGGGGGCGAGGTCGATGCCGGGCGAGGAATTGCATGGTGGGGGGTCCCAAGAACAGGTCGTGGTCGGTTCTGGGGCCAGGAAGTGTTGGGTGGGGGGACTTGACAAAGAACAGAGCGCCCGGGCGGCGGGATGCCGGGGCGCAGGTCATGGAGGGTGGAAGTCGGTTCTGGGCGAGGAAGCGTCGGGCGGGGGCTGCCAAGATCAGTGCTCCTGGGCGGTAGAGATGCCAGTGTGCGGTGAGGGTCGGTTCCAGGCGGGGACTTGTCGGGGGGGTCCAAAGAATAGAGATCCCAGGCGGCGGGGATGTCCGGGCGCGGTGAAGGTCAGGGTGGGGGGTCAAGGTGGGGAGTTGCGGTTGGTTCTGGGCCAGAAATGGTCCCAGGGCCTGCAGAGGGCCCCTTGTGGCCGCAAGTTGCCTCAAACCGCCCGTCCTGATTCTTTGAGGGAGTGCGGCTGGGCTTCCCGGATGGGGTCCGAGTAGATGGGTCGGAGGATCGCGCCGCATCGCCGACGCACTGGCGATGCGGCTCGATGTGCAGCCTGATTTTCTCCACGCCGACGTCGCCGACGCACCGCCGACGTCGGCGATGCCTCGTCGATGCATCGCCGATGCATCGGCGATGCAGCGGTGATGCGGCGCGATCCTCCGACCCCATCTGCCAGACCCCATCTGGGATTCCTCCAGTGAGCCTTCAGTATGAGGAGCTGGCGTCTCTCGGCTTGGGTTCCGCCTGCGGAGTTGATGGCGCCACGAGCGCGACTTACCGACGGGACTGGTTGGCCATCGTTGCAGAGATCTCGTGGGAGTCTCTCCCCAGGAGCTCATTTCCGACGAGCTCTCAATCAAGACGACCAGCCGACTCCGGATCCCCGCGCGCCAGGACCGGGGATCGGAGCCGACCTCGCCGGCCGCCGACCTCAGCATCGAGGTGGGCCACCACCGGCAGGCCCGGCAGAGCCAGGCGGCCTGCTGCTGGGCATCCCATTGCGGGTGGGTGCCTTGGCCTAGCGGAGGATGTGTATAGGCATGTGCAGGTACACATATAAGTTGTATTTTTGTATGGTGCGTTCGCATTCGTGTTTGGATACATTGTGTAGCTTTCTGGGTATATGCGTACAAGCATGCACACACACATACATATATGTATATACATACACGCGTCGACGAAGGCGTACATACACACATATAGTTATACATGTGTAGATGTATATGTTTTGCTTTATTTCCCAAGCAGAGCATGCCTCTGCAGGAGTCCTAGCGGATTCATATGGTTAGGTGAGGTTTGCCACCGATTTCCGCGGCCCGCCCGGGTACCTAATAGCCTTATAGCCCTATAGCCCTATAGCCCTATAACCCTATATCCCTATATCCCTATAGGCTTATAGCCCCATAGCCCTATAGCCCTATAGAAAGCCCTATAGCACCATAGCACGATAGCCTTATGGCCCTATAGCCCTATAGCGCCTTATAGCCTTTAGCCCTGTAGCCTATAGCCACATAGCCCTATCGCCCAAGAGCCTACAGCCCTAGCCCTATTACCCTATAGCCCTATAGTTTTATAGCCCTCTAGCCCTACAGCCCTACAGCCCTATAGCCCAATAGCCCTATAGCCCCATAGCGCTATAGCCCTATAGCCCTATAGCCCCATAGCCCTATAGCCCTATAGCCTCATAACCTTCTAGCCCTATAGCCCTATAGCCCCATAGCCCTATAGGCCTATAGCTCTATATGCCTATAGCCCTATAGCCCTATATCCCCATAACCCTATGCCCCTATAGCCCTATAGCCATTTGGTCCTATAGCCCTACAGCCCCATAGCCCTATAGAGTTACAGCCCTATGGCCCTATAGCCCTATAGCCCCATAGCCCCAGAGCCCCATAGCCCCATAGCCCCATAGGCCCATAGCCCGATAGCCCCATAGGCCCACATCCCTATAGCCTTATGGCCCTATAGCCCCATAGCCCTCTAGCCCTATGAACCTGTAGCCCTGTGGCCCTATAGCCCTATAGCCCCATAACCCTGTAGCTCCATAGCCAGATTGCCCTATAGCCCACTAGCACCATAGCCCTATAGCCCTAAAGCGACTTTGATTGGGTTATCCTCCAGTATCAGATATACATGTGTGCATTCTTAGTCATCTGTTACCCAATCAGAGCTTGCCTCTGTAGGGGTCCTAGCGGATTCATATGGTTAGGTGAGGTTTGCCACCGATTTCCGCGGCCCGCCCGGGTGCCCGGGTGCCCGGGTGCCCAGGTGCCCGGGTGCCGGGGTGCCCGGGTACCTTATAGCCCTATAGCCCTATAGCCCTATAGCCCTGTAGCCTTATAGCCCCATAGCCCAACAGCCTTATAGCCCTATAACCCAATAGGCCAATAGCCCTATAGCCCTATAGCCTTGTAGCCTTATAGCCCTGTAGCCCTATAGCCCTAGCCCCATAGCCCTACAGCCCTATCGCCCTATAGTCCTATAACCCTTTAGCCCTATAGCCCTATAGCCCTATAGCCCCATAGCCGAGGAGCGCTATGACCCTATGGGCCTATAGCCCTACAGCCCTATAGCCCTATTGCCCTATAGCCCTATGGCCCTATAGCCCTGTAGCCCTGTATTCCTATAGCCCTACAGCCCTACAGCCCTATAGCCCAATAGCCCTATAGCCCCATAGCCCCATAGCCCTATATCCTTAAAAAGCACTTGATTTGGTTTTCTCCGGTGTCATATACATATACGCAGACTTTGTTTGTATAGGTTGTTTGTACATTTGTATGTCTATATGCATGTAAATGTGCTTGTATGTTCAGTTGCTCCTGCAGTTGTATATGCATGTTTGTAGACGTATGTATATGCATGTGAGCATCTGCGTATTTGCAGTATATATGTGTGTAGCCATGTTTGTGTAGTTGTATGAGTGCATGGCGATCCTACAGATCTGTTGTATGCATGTGCATCCGTGTAACCATGCGTATGTATGTTTGTATATTTACACATGTAAGGGTTTGTATGTCTGTGTGTATGTACATGCGCACGTCACACTTGTATATATATATATAAATATAAGTGCAGGCATGTGCAGGTGCAGCTTTTTCTGTACATGTGCAGATATACATGCGCGTGCATGTACATGTGTCTACAAACACATATGTGTACATGTGTAGATATACGCACACGCATTTACATACACACATATATGTACATCCATATGTCTATGTATATGTGTATGCCTATGCTTACTTCTTTGCACATGAGTATGTTTGTTCTTGCACATGCAAATGATAAATCTATGTATACGTGTACGCATATGTACAGGTATCTGTATATGTATACGTATACGTATATGTATGTGTTCATGACTGTATACCTAGATATAGAGCAAGAGAGGAGGGGGAGAGTCGGGGGAGTTGGATGAAGTAATATTGGTCGCGAGAGACGCGAATGATGCGGATGATGATTATGATGAGGAGGGGGGTGGAGGATGAGGACGATGATGCTGATGCTGATGCTGATTATGATTATGATGCTGCTGCTGATAATGATGCGGATGATGCGGATGATGCGGATGAAGATGCTGCTGATGATGATGATGCTGATGCTGATGCTGATTATGCTGCTGTTGATGACGATGCGGATGATGCGGATGATGCGGATGCTGATGATGATCATGATAATGAGGATGATGACGATGATGATGATGCTGATGATGATGCTGATGTTTGTGATGATGATGATGGCGATGATGATGACGATGATGATGATGCTGCTGATGATGGCATGATGATACGGATGATGCGGAGGATGCGGATGGTGATGATGATGATGATGATGGTAATCATGATGATGCTGATGATGATGATGATGATGATGGTGGTGGTGGTGGTGGTGATAATGATGATGCTGATGATGGTGATAATGATGATGTTGATGATGATGCTGCGGATGTCAATGCAGATGAGGATGCAGATGAGGATGCTGATGATGATGCTTATGATGATGTTGATGATGCTGCTCATGATGATGTTGATGATGACGATGATGATGCTGATGATACTGATGATGATGATGATGATGATGATGCTGCTGCTGATGTTGATGTTGATGATGCTGATGCTGATGCTGATGATACTGATGATGATGAGGATGAGGAGGATGATGATACTGATGATACTGATGATGATGAAGATGATGATGAAGATGAAGATGACGATGCCCATGATGCTGATGATGATGCTGATGATGACGATGATGGTGGTGGTGGTGGTGGTGATGATGATGATGACGATGCTGATGATGATGATGATGCTGATGTTTATGATGATGTTTATGATGATGATGCTGATGATGATGATGATGATGATGATGATGATGATGATGATGATGATGGTGGTGGTGGTGGTGGTGGTGGTGGTGATGATGAGAATGTTGATGATGCTGATGATGCTGCTGCTGAGGAGGAGAAGGAGGATTAGGAGGAGGAGGAATTGGAGGAGGACGGGGAGGAGGAGTCGGAGGAGGAAGCTCAGGAGGAGGAGGAGGAGCCTCAGAAGGAGGATCATGAGGAGTCAATGACGGAGCATGATGAGGGGTGCGAGGTAGGAGGAGGACAGGGAGGAGGATGAGGAAGAGGATGAGAAGGGAGTCTCGGAGGTATGGGGAGGGGGATCAGGGCTTGCTCGGGGAGGGCTGGGGCAGCTGTGACGAGGCCCCTCGTCAGATGGAGTGAGGGGACCCCTTGCTGTTTTTGGGCCGAGGCAGTGAAGAGCTCAAGTTCATCGGTCTCCGTCTGCGCTGGCTGCGAAAGTGGTTCATTCATATTTGTCTTCATGCCAGTTTCTGAATCAATGGAGACTCGTACCTTCTGCTGCTGCTGCTCCTCCTGCTGCTCCTCCAGCTCCTTCTTCAGACTACCAATCTATCACAATGCTGCGAGCACTCTCAGGGCACGCCAGAAAACTGCAGAACGTCCCCGTGGGATGTGTCCCCTGAGGCGGTTTGAAGTCGGCCACCTAGCCTCTCGTGACCGCTCCTGGACTACTATACTGGAAGGCGGGTTGGTGGGAGAGTCGGCGGCGCGTCGAGGGGGGAAACGAGAGGGCGGAGGCCTTTGAGAAGGCAGCGGGGCTTCTCTGAAGCCACCCGGCCTTCTGAGAAGCCGACTGTGCCTTCGGAGAAGATCGAGAGGCAAACCATGACATAAACATGAGCTTTCGGAGGTCCGGCTGGATTTCTTGGATCGGCGCTGGGCCCCCCTCCCTGGCGCGCGGAGCGCGCGAGGCGCGGCCAGGGGGCTCCAGCGCCGATCCAAGCTATCCGCGCGGACCTTCGGCAGTTTTCGTTTCTGTCACTGTCTGCCCTCGGTTCGCCGGCCGCTCCATTGTGACCCACCTCGCCACGGGAGTGCCCTCGTGTCTGCTTTTTCCCGTCTGTCCCTCCTGGCGCCTCGAATCTGGGGCGAGAACCCTTCGCGCGGGAGGCCTGAGCAGCAGTGGTCTCGAGGCGTTTGCGCGGCGCTGCCTCGAGGAAGGCGTGAGCTGCACGGGGCGCCAGTTTCCCTCTGTGCCGATGCGCCGTTTAGGCGCCCGAGCTCGCGTGCGGGCTGCCTCTTCCGCGCTCTGCGGCGTATGAGAAGCTGCTCCCCGGTGCCGGGCCTTCAGAGAAGGAGGAGGAGGAGGAGGCGGAGGAGGAGGAGGAGGAGGAGGAGGAGGAGGAGGAGGAGGAGGAGGGGGGTGGGAGGAGGCGGAGGAGGAGGAGGAGGAGGAGGAGAGGAGGAGGAGGAGGAGGAGGAGGCAGGAGGAGGAGGAGGAGGAGGAGGGGGGTGGGAGGACGAGGGGGGGGGACGACGACGACGACGACGACGACGACGACGACGACGACGACGACGGCGGCGACGACGACGACGCTGCTCTGGCGCTCCTGCTTCCGCCCCTTGGCTCGCCGCGAAGAGAGGCCCCCCGCGGCGCGCCGCAGGAGCCAGGCGCGGACCAGGCTGCCCGCCCCCGTGCACCGCGCCGCCCTCCTCCTGGTCGGCCCTTCGCGCGCGCGGGGGGGGCGCGTCCGGACTCCCAGAGATCCGACGCTCCAGCACGTGGGAGCGGCCTGCTGTTTTAGCCTGTTTCGGCCTCCAGGGGCCCTCGCCGGGCCTCGGGGCCATCAGAGAACGACTCGGGGCGAGAGACAGGCCCCAGGGAAGTGGTCCGGTGGAGCGGCCGGATGTCTGGGCCCAGGGCAGGGTTGGAGCCGGCCAGGGGTCTGAGGTGGTGCAGCACTGGTTCCGGCTAGCAAGAGGGGGTGGAAGTTCGAGGTATTGTGCCTGATTTTTTTGAAAGAGCGTGTTCTACCGCTGCTGGCGGAAAACCAGGGGGGGTCACTGGGGGTTCCCAACCCGCCCCCCCCCCTTCTCGAAAACGGGGGGGGTTACTACCAGTTCGAACCCTCTCCCTCCCCCCCCCGGTCCATCATGAAAAGGTGGTGGGGACAGTGGTGTGGGGACAGTGGGGCAGTGGTGCGGAGCGGACAGTGGTGGGGACGGTGGTGGTGGGGACAGTGGTGAGGGCACAGTGGGACAGTGGTGGGGACAGTGGGACAGTGGTGGGGACGGTAGTGGTGGGGACAAAGTGAAGGCGGTGGTGAGGACGGTGGTGGGACAGCAGTACAGTGGGGAGAGTGGTGGGAACAATGGGGGCAGTGGGACAGTGGTGGGGACAGTGGGACAGCACAGTGGGACAGCGGCGGGGACAGTGGGGACAGTGGGACAGTGGTGGAAACAGTGGGGACAGTGGGACAGTGGTGGGGAACGTGTGGAAAGTGAGGAGAGTGGAACCGTGGTGGGACAATGGTGCCGAGAGTGGGGACAGTGAGACACTGGTGGGGACAGCGGGAACAATGGTGGGAACAGTGGGGACAGTCGGACAGTGGTGTGGACTGTGGGGCAGTGGTGGGGACGGTGTGGTGGGGACAGTGGTGTGGGGACAGTGAGAATGTGGTGGGGACAGTGGGACAGTGGTGGGGGACAGTGGTGGTGGGGACTGGTGAGGGCGGTGGCGAGGACGGTGGTGGGACAGTGGGACAGAGGTACAGTGGGGACAGTGGTGGGGACAGTGGGGACAGCGGTGGGAACAGTGGGACAGCTCAGTGGGACAGCGGCGGGGACAGTGGGACAGTGGGACAATGGGGACATTGGCGACAGTGGGGCAGTGGTGGGGACCGTGGGGAAAGTGGGGAGAGTGGGACCGTGGTGGGAGCAGTGGTGGGGACAGTGGGGACAGTGTGACAGTATGGGGGGACTGATGGGGACAGTGGGGACGGTGGTGGGAACAGTGGGGACAGTGGTGGTGGGGACAGTGGTGCTGGGGACAGCAGAACCAGTAGTGACCCCCCTTGGTTTCCCAGAGGGTGGGGGGGTTCGAACCGGTAGTGAACCCTCTCGGGTTCTGGAGGGGGAGGGGGGGGAGGGGTCAGGGGGGGGGGGGGGTTGCAGGGGGAAGGGTGGGGTTCCAGCAGGGTGGGATTTTCGAAGGGGGGGGGGACCCCTGGGTTCGGAGGAAGAGGGGGGGGCATTTTCTACAGTAAAGCGGCGGTGGATCACGCTCTCTCATTTTTTTTGTTCGGCCTCTGGGGTGCGTTTTCGGACTCCGGGCCAGTCAAAAACGGATCTGGGTTGAAACATTGCGCCAGGTGGATTCCGGGAGGGCTCCGGGGACCTATTCTGAGCGGATTTCGAAGATCTTCAGGCCGGTGCCGCCGACCCTGAAAGAGGACGACGACGGCGATGCTGGCGACGGCGACGACGAAAACAAGCAAGAGTTTAAAGAGACAAGAGACACCATTGATTTTGATCTCTTGTCTTGGGAGTGCTCGTGGGCTTGGAGATGTCTTGGGCGGTCTTGGGGCGGTCTTGGGGCCGTGTTGGGCTGTTTTCGGGCGCTTTCGTCAGTCTCTTGGACCGTCTTGGGGCGATTTCGGAAGCCGGACATTGCGACGACAGAAGAACATAGAACAACTACATTGAAATGGTTGGTTTTCGCCTCTTGGGCCCTTGGGGCACTTCTCATCTTGGAGCGTCTTGGGGGTTTCTAATGTTGTCTTGAGGGTATCTTGGGCCGTCTCGGAGTGATCTTTGGCTATTTCAGAGCTCTCTTGGAGAAAGCTGCGGTACATTGGAGCTCGAGGCGTTTGAGAGGCAAGAAATCGAAGGGCAAAGCTTCTCCCAGTGAGGGGTGCTCCCCCGGGGGGGGGATCGCAACTCCCGGGCCCTGCCCAGGACCACCCCCACCTCCCCCAGGACCTCCCCTGGGGACCGCCCTGGGACCCCCCCCCCAGGATCCGCCCATCGGGGGGGGAGGGATCAAAGGGAAGGGGCTTCCCTTCGACTCGATTGCGACGTTGCTCGCTCTCCCTCTGGCTGGAACGTTTGAGGAGGAGGGCCCAGGGAAAGGGGTTGAGCGGCGACGGCGACGACGACGACGACGACGACTCAAAGGGAAAAGCGTCAATGGAGGGGAGCGGCAACGACGACGGCTCACACAGAAAGCCCCTCACACGCCGACGGCCCGTTTTCGGGCCCTGGGAGCGTCAAGAGCGGAGTCGGGGTGAGATATTGCACCAGATGGATCCCAGCAGGGATGCGGGGACCGATTTTGAGCGGGATGGCTCGTCCAGACGAAATCGTGGATCGTATTGTTGCGATTTTGTCTGATCTTATGGCTGAGTGCATCCCTTTTTCTACGGGCAAGTCTTACTCGTCTCACCCTTGGCTAGATGAGAGATGTTTAAGACTACGTAGTGCAAGCGAAATGTGATGGTTCAGGCACGGCAGCCTTCCCCCCCCTCCCCTTGACAGACTTTCCCGGGGCCCAACGAGCTCAGACACCCTGGCCGCCTCCCAGGGCCTTTTGATCCGGGGCGGGGATTCATCCATGACCACCGCCTGGGGCATCGAGATTCGGGCACCTCGGCGGGCGGTGGTCATGGATGCCCTCGGGCTCGAGGTGGGGCTTCCCCGAAATCTGTCCCCGCCGCCTGCCGGCGCCGCCGAGTCTCGATCCAGGCGGCACTTCTGGATGATAATCCCTCCTCGCCTTTGCGGTTGCCGAGGCGCCTGGCGTTTGAGGATTCCGAGTGCGCGGGTTGAGGCTGCGGCTGTTTTTCTGTGGCGCCGGACCGTCTGGGCAGCGTTCCGTTTCGGGGGCGCTTCGCGTGGAGGAGGAGGAGGAGGAGGAGGAGGAGGAGGAGGAGGAGGAGGAGGAGGAGGAGGAGGAGGAGGAGGAGAGGAGGAGGAGGAGGAAGGAGGAGGAGGAGGATGAGGGAGGAGGAGGGAGGAGGAGGAGGAGGAGGAGGAGGAGGAGGAGCAGCGCTCGCAACCGCCCTGGTCGATCGAGGGAGCTGAGCTCTGCAGCAGCGCTCGCAAGTGCAAGGCCCTCCAAGACCGACCGCGCGGGGGGTCACCGCCTCTTTCCGAAGGGGAGGCAGCGGTTTTGGAGGACCCAGCTTGCGAGGCCTTCGACGCCCTGGGGGCGGGTGGGATTCCTATGCATGCCCTCCCCCATTCGTCTGTCGCTTGTCGAGGACGGGAGGTATTTGATGTTCCAACCTACTTTAGCCTTGATCACCAGGAAGAATTTCGAGCACCACAAAAGCACCGAAACTCGAGGGTTTTCACGCGTCGGGCCCTGGGAGACGCTCGTTCGACACTCTTTCGACACTCTTTCGACACCCTTTTGACCCCTTCTGGGTGCTCGACATTACTTTTGGGATGTGGTCCTCAACGTACGATGGGAGCAACATAACGGGAGGTGGCCAGTGCGCCCGGAAGCGCGGAGCCCAGGGGCGAGGCCCGGAAAAGGGGGCAGCAAGAGCGGACCGATGGCCCTCGAGAGCACACTCCAGGTCTCTCAATAAGCGTGGGGGGGTGGATCGCGTGGGGGGGTGGGAAATCGCTGTCCTTCGGGTGGCGTGGGGAGGTTGGGGAGCGAGAGGGGGTGGGTTTGGGGCGCGTGGGGGGGCACGCAAGGGGCGTCGGACAGGTTGGCACGGTGTGTGTGTGTGTGTGTGTGTGCTCTTTGAAGGATGTGGAGTATGGTTCGAGGCTGGAGGAAGGCATGACTGCCTGCGCAGAGGTCCCTGTTGAGCTCGGGTCGAAAGCTGGGCGAGGGCTGCTAAAGCCGTGGCTGCTAAAACGGCCCTCCCGGAAGGAAAGAACGACTTCCCGGAATGAGGCCCGGCACGCGAAACAGTCAACGGGCTTCTTCCCGGAAGGACGCAGACAACTTCCCGGAAGTCGATTTTAGCAGCCACGGATTTAGCAGCCCTTGCCCGGCTTCCGAATGACTGCCTGCGCAGAGGTCTCTGTTGAGCTCAGGGGTCCCGTGAGACGCGGCAGTGGTGTCGGACCGATCGCTCTCGAGGAAATGTCGTTCGAGGCTGATCGAGGCGCTGTGGCCTGCAGAGAAATCGCTCTTGGGCTCGGGGAGCTCGAGACCTGGCCCGAGGGCTCGTTGGAGTAGAGCTGCCCGCCCCTTCCCAAGTTTGAACGTTCCGAGCTTCAGGCGCGTCACGCGCTTTTGAGCTCTTTGGCGAATGGCGGTCGGTTGTGTCAATTCGTCAGAGGCCGATTCCTGCTCTGGGTTTTTGCCACAATGGACGTCGTCTTGCTTATCAGCATGCTTGACGTTGTAGCGGAGGCCTTTGTGTAGCACTGTAAGTGTTGCTGCTATGGGCACTGCGGGTGTCCAGTTTCGCAGGATCTTCTCATTGGGCCCTCACGGTTACACCAGTTGTTGGCAGCATGCGGTTTTTGCTTATCTTGATTCTCTGCTGGCAGCACGCGGTGTTTTGTGAATCCTTCCTTCCTGTTCCGTGGAATTCGTATTCTTTCTTATTGTTCCTCTGGCCTCTTCACTGACTGGTTTTCCTATTCGGATCTCCAACTGCCTGCTTGCGACGGCCTCCGTATTTGCCTCTGCTTTTGTCTCTGTTTCTGCCCCTGCCTCTGCCTCCGCTTCCCTCTCTGTCTCTGTCTCTGTCTCTGTGTCTGTCTCTGTCTCTGTCTCTGTCTCTGTCTCTGTCTCTGTCTCTGTCTCTGTCTCT